ATTAATTTAGTCCAGATTTCAATTTCATGAATTAAAAACAATGACCAAATCTGAATGAATTTGTTAATATCGGTGGCAAGTTTGAAACAACATTAATGAGAATGAAAATGACAACAAACGACAATACTACAACAATAAAAATTATTTAACAAGAAACTGTTTTCGATTTTAGTATAAAAAATGTTGAAACAATAAAGCAATTTATTAAAATTATATATAAGCATTTTAACAACATAAAGATTTCAAATAATTTTTACATCATTTTTGAACAAAGAAAATTGTTCAATAAAATAATTAAAATGAAAACATTCTACGGCCATTTCAATTGCTGGCGTTATTATGGAAGATATTTGACCATGAACAAAATCTTGATATTTTTTAAGTCCGTTTTTAAGATTTTTTTATCAGGCATCAACTACAATTTGAAAATGACCTTGAATCTGGACATTTTTTACTTTCATAGCATAATTTTTTTACTAACAATAGAAAGCAAGAGTGTTTGGGGAACATTGATATTGATATTGGTGTTAAAATAAATAGGTAGTTAGGTTGGTTTTTAGAAGGGAGGGTGGCATATAACGCTTTCAGGTTTGGTTTCAAATATAAAGGTTAGGTTAACCCAAATTGACCAAATAAAGAGACATTTTTTTTTTAGAAATGGAGTCTTGAGGGTCTAAAAAGGATTTTTTAATTAAGACGTTTTGCTTTAAGAGCGCTAGAAGTGGGTTGGGAGCCTACCTCAAAAAGTAGTTCTTTTTGTCCAACATGGACCAAAAGAGAATTTTTTATTGTAGAAATGAAGTCTGGGGGGTCCAAAAAGGATTTGTTACTTCAAACATTTTGCTCTAGAAGCCCTAGAAGTGGATCTGGAGCCTACCTCAAAAAGTGTCTCTTTTGGTCCATAACAGTTATGTGCTTAATTAATTGATTTTTGAAATGTCTCTTGACACTTTAACCATATTTAATGTGCTGTAGAGGGAGGTAATATCTACCCCCACAAATTGGGCCTTTAAGTAAACACGAGGCCAAGTTATTATGAAACGCAAATTGCGGCAAGGAGACAACCTCCAATCAAAAGTTACAAAGTACAAAGGTGTAGCCAATATATGAAAATGGTGGAGCAGAAATGAAATTGAGACCTCTATCTCCACAAATAAGCCCTCTGGACTCTGAAGCCTACAACAGTTTTGGAGGTCGGAGGCCTTAACTCGCGGCGTTTTTGAGCAATTGCAAAACGTTTTAGGTTCCCCAACTACAGTTAAATGTAATCTAAAAAAATAAAAAAAAGTCAAAATTGACGATTTTAGAACAAAAAGAGCAAGTTCACCGATTTTTGTATGGTACTTAAGATTTTAGAACTTATATCAACATGTTACAGAGCATCTTAAAACTTAAAACGATGCCATTTTTTTTGATTTTTAAGGGATTGATCTCAAATTTGGCATCTTTGAAACCTGACTGACTTGGAAGCAATTGCCGCCAAAACTGTACGGCCCTTTTTAGGTAGGGGGCTGAATTATCGCAAAAAAAAATTGTTGTTTTTTTCACATATTTTCGCGTTCTTTATAATTTAGAAAAAAAATTTAAAAATTTGGTTATAATTATTCTTCTTCATATTTTCAAAGATGATCTTAAGAAGACTAAGATTGTTTCTCAAAATAAAAATTTCTCATTCCAATATCTTTGCAACCTGTTGGTATACATATTTTATTTGAGCTAACTCTGATTTTTTAATTCCTCTGCAAACTTTTAAAAATTTGGTTATAATTTTTTTTTCTTTCATACTTTCAAATATGATCTTAAGAAGACTAAGTTTGTTGCTCAAAATAAAAATTTCTCATTCCAATATCTTTGCAACCTGTTGGTATACATATTTTATTTGAGCTAACTCTGATTTTTTAATTCCTCTGCAAACACAATTTTTGAATTATGAAAAATCCAATTTTCTTTCATAATATGATTATGTTTAGGATGTGTGCTATCAAAAAGGGGAAAACAGAAGCACCATTACACCTTCTCTTTCCCCGTCACTTGATGAACTTTGTAGATTTGTTTGCCAAAATGGAAAAGAAATACTTTTAAGCCAATAGAATTCCATGTACTGACGAAGATCCTGTTTTTCAAAAAGGCACTGGCAGTGCCTTTGCAATTGCAATGAAGCACATATATACACAGAGGGGTTTTAAGGTACATAAAAGAATGGCTCTTTAGGTTGGGGGCAAGTTTAAATAGTGCTCCTTTGGTTCTGGAGGCCGCTTGTTTTGAGGTTCAAAAGTTAAAAAGAAATCGACTTATTTATTTACTGGCTACAATTTGGACTCGTGTCACTTTTTGATTGGAGGTCGTCTTCATACCGCAAATCACGATTTATAATGATTTTTTGGAACCCACCTGCGCGCCGTTTAACTAGAGTTCCACATTTTGAGAACCACTGTCTAGGCACCCCTAGGTTACGTAAAAAGTTTCAAATTGATTTGAATATTTAAAGTGTATCAAAGTGATGATAAAAGTCGCTGCTGTCAGTTGGTTATGAACCAAAAGAGTCACTTTTGAGGGGTGCTACTGACCCACTTCTAATGCTCTTAGAGCACACCATCTTAAGCAAGAAATCCGTTTGTACCATTACAGACCCTTTTCTGAAAAAAGTGCTCCTTGCTCAGAGTGGGATATTTACGTTACATGTGCTATTTGAGGTGTAAGTCTTTATAAAATGTATACTTATTATGTTACCTTACATTCTACACAAAATGTTTCCAGTTGTACAAAAATATTTTTAAAAAACTTAACCAATTGTATCGAAAATGTTTTAGTTACTGTCATGTCCAGAGAAAATAAAATGTTGTTCAACAAAATAAAAGCAGACTTATTGAGAATATGAATTAGGATACAAATTTGACCATATTCAAAACCAGACCTCAAAACCATTCACATCCCTAGTTTTTACTATGGTACTATTTTCACCAGGATATAAGTACAATTAGTGGTAAATCTAAACAGATTCAATGGCGGACATAATTCCACTTCAAGAGGCAAATATGTGAAAATCCACCGCTAGTGGTAAATATTTTAGCGGTTAAGATTTAGCGTCCAACAACTCCTGAGACTAAAATAAAATTTAATCTGAGACCTATAAATTTGTTGCTAGGTTTTATATTAACTACACGCATTGTTTTTGATAGAAAAAAAGAACAATAAAGGGTCAACATAATTATTTAAAAAAGCTCCACATTTTGAAAATTGATCATTTCAACTATAATAAATGTGTGTGAAATGTACACACTATTGAACAAACATTAACACTGATTACAAAACAAGATTTCATAATATTCTGTTGTTTACTAGTTAAGAGACCACTTCGCATTCTAGGAAACTTTCTTCACTTTTTGTTTGGCACAACAATTCGAAATAGGAAAAAACACCGTTGACAGGGAGTTTTATTTAAGTGTTGACAGGAGGGTTTAATTATAATGTTGACAGGGGGTTTTATTTAAGTGTTGACAGGAGGGTTTAATTATAATGTTGACAGGGGGTTTTATTTAAGTGTTGACAGGAGGTTTTATTTCTAGAGTTGACAGGGAGTTTTAATGCAAGTATTGGCAGGGTTACAAAACTTTCAATGCATTATGGATATTTAAGTAATGCTTTTTTTTTCTGGAGAACCATTTCTTATTTCACTGCAGCACCTTATTCCCTGTATTGTTCTTGAAAAATAATTGTCATAACCAGAAAGAAGGTATGCTTGCGCAGATCGCCAAATTTGGTTAAAATTGCGCTTTTAATGGATATGTTCATTAAATTTTTTTAATCTAAAACATATTTTCTTGTCATAATGGGATTAAAATAATGAAATATTGCCCAAAATTGTTGTTCCCGAAATATTTGTTGGCAAATTTGTGCCAAAACATCATCAGGCTCAGTCGACTGTGACCAAGCAATCAATCAATCAATCAAAAATATTTGTTGGCAAATTTGTGCCAAAACATCATCAGGCTCAGTCGACTGTGACCAAGGTTAATTCTTGACCTCAAATGACCTCCATGAATGCCCTGAGAGAATGCTGGTGCCGATAACAGAGCTGGGTTGGTAGGAAAACTGAAAGAATAATTTAAAATGAAAATTGAATAATTGAAATGTTCTGACGTCTCTTTTCAAAGTTTTTCGAAAAATACTTTGCATACGGAGTATATATTTTAACTTTTCTTTGTCTTCATCAATTGGATTGTCAATTATTACACAGAATTTCTATATCATATATCATTGGGTTTATTATAAGTATAGTGATTTTTCCATGAAATGACTGTTATCCTTTTATTTTATTATTTATTTATTTCATTTATTTACATCATTTTAACACATAAATAAGAAATTAATTTGAGTAAGTTAAAGGGACTGTAAATGTATGTTCAAATAGAATGCATGGATGATTCACGACAGTAGTCTTTCCACATCTACTTGAGTCATTTTTCTGATCAATAAAGGGTTGACATCTGATAAAATCCTTTTTAATCTCTGATAAGAATAATTACTCAAACCAACAATTCAAAATTAAGAATCCCAATATTTTTCACAGATGCAGCTTTAAAAGATCCCTGCGTGATTCAGATGCAACTAATTAAATGAGGGATCAATTGAAATTACGCGGACAGTCCCTTCAACACTTAAAAATCAACAACTTATTTTCTTTTGGGAGGAAAAGTTTATTTGTATTTACCTCTGTAAACGGTTCATCTCTGGGGGGGGGGGCGCGACGCACGCTAAATGCATAGTTTTACATAAATCTTCAAAATATATACTTCTGGACTTTAACAACAAGGAACATAATAAGATATTCCCGATTTGGAGGTAATCATGTACACAAAAAGAAAAAAATTAATCCATCTGAAGGGATTAATAAAGTTTTAACCTCTGTGAATCCTTATTAGTCCTCCATCAACGAGCTCGTATATCCCTTGTAGTCAGAATTGGGGAGTTAGGAAAAAAGAGAAAATTTGAAAATCACTATTTGCGAACTGACTCTTTACTTACTCTGCATCCTCCTGTCCTCCTCCCAGCCTCTGGAGAGGATCCTTGATAAGTAACCCGCTTAACAGATCCTTGGCCTCAGGACTAATAGATCGGGGGAACCTCACCTAGAATATACAGTTGTAATTTCAATTGTCCCTTTAGTAGAAAATTGGTTTGCCCGTTTAAACTTTTATTCCGATCAATAAAGTGAAAAATATCGTGTTCAATTCTGTCACTGTCCTTCATGTTTCTCTAGTATAAATCCCCGAGTCAGTTTTAAAGAGAAGCCACAGTTGGAAAAAAAAATCTTCAAATAAGATAAACATTTTATTCATTCTTGATCAGAACAAGTTAATAGGGGTTTCTCTGTGATTTAGACATGCCACTCTATACATACATGACGCCTACCTTCCATCTAAAACGTAATTCCTCATATTTTATTGGGTTTGAGTGGGATTAAAAATTGGTCGTTTTGAAGAAGAGATGTGGATTGTGGATATGAAATCAAAATTCTTACGAATATTTATGAAACCAGTGGGGAATTTGAAGAATTTGAGCGGCGGTTTTAAATTTAAGCCGAGGCTTAAATAAATATGGTTGGTTCCACTTAAAATTGTATCAAATGCTTCAAGATTAAAGCCGGCGCTTAATTTAAACCGGGTTTTGGCAGATTTAAACCGCGACTAAAATTCTTTAAATTCCATCTCAGAAAATTGTGGGATAGAAGACGACATTGAAGCAATAATTAATAGTACTTGATAAATGGGCCTGTTCACGCTGTATACATGTTGCGTATTATGTTCATTAGACTATTTAAATTCATAATTTGATCATTTTCTTAGTCTTTGCTTTTAAAAATTGGGCACAAGTTGTAGAATAAATAAAATTCTATTCAGTTCTAAAAATCCAATAAGTAAGATTTGTAAAATATATTTAAGCAATTTAGATACCTCGTCCATCAGTATAAGCTCAAACAACTTGTCATGATCTCTGCACACAAACACAATATTAAACTTTTAAAACGTTTTCATTCATAAAAACTGAGCGGGGCCGAGTTTAAAAACTTTGATCCGCGCCTAGACGCAGTTCTAACATGAGATGCGGTTCAATTATGGTTAGTTCAACTCGAAATTTTAATCAGATTTGAGCCAGCGAGTAATTTGAACCGGTGATTGGCGGTACAGCGACGCTGTTCAAATTCATTAAATTAGACCTCAGAGTATTTATCAACTCCCTTCCCCCCCCCCACTGCTAGGCCAGGACCACCAGGGTTAACATTTTTCTTCCGTATTCATAAATATTCAATGAGTTTTTAAAAAACCGCAAATTAAATTTGGAGAAAATCGGGACTCAATCAAGGTTCATAGAAAGTTAGATTTTAGGGTTGAAAAGACTTTTAAAACATAGATGAGGATTGGTAATTCGAGTTTTTGACAGAAATAAATTTTTATTAATTACCATCTTCAAAACATGGATTTTCTGTTCCTTAAATATTATAACTCAGTGTACTAAATAAAAATTTAAAGAAGTTTTTCTTCACTTTTTACGAATATTTTTGAGGAGCGAAAAGAAAATTTAGGATAATTTTTTACGGAATAAGGAAAACTAAATGGTTGGAGGAAGTAAAAAAGTATCAGTGAAACAGCTTATCAGTTGCCTCGATACTTGGATAAGGTTAGATAGATACTTAGATAGGGATAGATAGATACTTAGTGGATAGATAGATACTTAGATAAGGAGAGATGGATACTTAGATAGGGATAGATAGACACTTAAAATAGCGATAGTCAAATGATACAAAATATATACGATGTAAACTATCTACATTTATACTGTTAATTTGTTAGTATCCAATAAACATCGAAATGACTAAACAGATAGGGCCCAAATTTTGTGTGGGACCTCACATGACCTCAACGAAAGTTTATGGATGAAATTACAATCATCGAAAAAGTTCATTATTTGTGCATAACCCTGTTCTTGTAAAATAGATGAGCAAACATGATTTGTCTAAATGGTTCAGTCAAGTATTTAATAGAGGGGGTAAAACACAATAGCTAACATCTTTTTATCCATTATTATTATTATTAAGAGAAAACTCATCAGTCAGTGAACAAGGGTTCGAGGCTCTAGGCCATTGATATTTATCCATGGACACAACGGTCCCCTTTCCCAATTGTGCTTGGATGTAGATTAACCTAGGCGGCCAGCCCAATATAGATCCATTACTGAATTAGGAATAAATACAATTTTAGAATATATTTTGGAATATAAATACTGACCAGTGAACTCGGAATCAAAATATCTAGTATCAGTCTCACTCACAACCTTAATATTTCAATCAATTAATCAATACTTTAATTAATATTATATCAACCAATTTATAAAGTAATCAATTAATAAATTTATCACTCACTATCTTAATATTTCAATTAATTCATCAATCAATCAATCAATCAATCAATCAATCAACCAACCAATCAGTCAATCAATCAATCAATCAATCAATCAATCAATCAATCAATCAATGATATATCAAGCACCATCCAACCTACCTGTGGTTTAAAGGGGGGAGTTAAACGTTTCTTCTCAAGCTCTGTCCAGTTTATAGAGGCAAAGAACAAGTGGGTTTTTACAGCCCTAGAATATTTCAATTGTATTTGAAAATATTTTTTTTTGTTGAAAATTTTCTCTTTTTAAAACATATTTTGAATTTAAAAATATCTTTCACACTGTGAATTGGTGGAAATTATAAAAATAAATTTTTTGAAAGAGAGGAAAAACTTGCTATTTGATGCCAAATTTTTCTTTTTTATGATTCTACAAAGTAACAAAAAGGACCATATTAAGATTCTTGATTTTAAGATAATCATGAACAAAAATAACCGATCGAACCTCACATTACCTTAGGGAAGGATTAAGGAACATCAAAATTTGGGAGAAAAAATCCTGGATTTTTTTTAAATGCGCAAATTCGGAAAAAAAGTCTGCCAAAATAAATCCTTTTTTAATGGCCGAATTTTAAAGCTAAAATCATTTACATGAAAGGGA